ATAAGGGTTAACTTTGCCTGTTTTGGAATTGGACCATTTCCTCCATTATTGAGCCTAATTCTTTTACCCAATAATCAGCCCAGTTGCCCAAATGCACAACCCAACTGCCCAAATAATAAAAAAAAAGACAACAGAGCCCATTTTAGTTTCTTCTTCTCGGTTATCTTCTCCGGCGTTTCTCCCTTTTCCAGTCCGGCTCTGCAATCTTACCCCCCTGCATTGCTGCTAAAAAAAAAAAATTTCCCCAAAATCTAGTTCTGGGCGTGAAGGCGTCTGCCGTCTAGTCTCTGGACTTCCGTCGGCGTGAATGGCTGAAGGCGTGGTGGCGGAAAAGGGCTGAAGGTAGGCGTGGTGGAGGAAACACAGGAGTCGAAAGTGAAGACTGAAGAGTTGAAGTGGGGAGGTTTAGGTTAATTAAAAAAAAACAAAAGAAATGGCCTCTGAAAATTCTGTCAACTCGTACTGGGTACTACTTTTTTGAATTGTCAACTCAAGAATGTATTGGGTATTTAAATTTTCTAAAGGGGTAAAATTGTCCAAAAATGACAATATTGCAAAGGCTTTTAAAAAGTGTCATTTTTGAAAATGAAAAGCCAAAAAATGACATTTTGTGCAATTTCTTCTTCTTAAAAATAATCTTTCAAAAACTCATTTTCTCCCAAAAAAAAAAAAATCTTTTAATGGTTGTCAAACAGGGGCTTACATTCGTTCATTTTCATGTGAATATAAGATAAAATCAAGTGAAAATGAAACAAAATTAGTTATAACGACACTCAACCATTTATGCCATTTTAGGTAACGATGTCTTGACTTCACTCCAAAATTTATTGATCATATTTCAAAATATCTTAGAATGCTTGTACAAGTTAAGTGAGCTAATTTGTAGAGTATCTTATCTTATAATCGAAATACAAGGAACACTGAGTTACTTACCTTCGATCATAATGAAGTCTAGTGTAATTTACTCACGAAACAATAATGTTGGTCACTATCACGTGAACTTTGTTGACCATAGTGTCCTAATTTAGCGAGAACTCGCATTCGTTTATTTTATGTGGACACGAGACAATATAAATTGAAATGGACACGAAATTAATTGATCGACACCATGTCGTTTTAGGTAACAGGATCTTGATTTCACTCCAAAACTAATCGATCATATTTCGGAACATCTTAGAAGACTTGTATAAGTTAAATGCGCCAATTTATTGAGTACCTTATCTCATAATTGAAATATAATGGAATTTGAGTAATTTAGATTCGTTAGTAATGAAGTGTAGTGTAGCTAGTGTTGATCATTATCGCGTGAACTGTATATTGATCGTGGTGTCAAAATATAATGGAAACTTGCATTTGTTTATTTTCATGCGGATACAAGTCAACATAAAGTTAAACAGACACAAAATTAGTTAAAACGACAACATGCCGTTTTGGATACAAGTCAACATAAAGTTAAATAGACACAAAATTAGTTAAAACGACAACATGCCGTTTTGGTTCAACCTTGATTTCATTATAAAACTAGTCTGATCATATTTTGGAACATTTTTAGAAGACTTTTACATGTCAAAATAGCTAAGTTTTTTATTATTATTTTATCTTATAGTTGGAATATGATGGAATTTTAGCTAAATACCTACGTCGTAGCGAAGTCTAGTACAATTTACATAAAAAATAACAGTGTTGGTCACTATCACGTGAACTTTGTATCGACTGTAGTGTTCAAATGTAGTAAAAAAAAATATTCATTATGTATACAAGTGAACATAAAGTAAACATACATGAAATTATTTGTAATGATACTTAGTCGATCAAAATGGCAACATGTCGTTTTAGGTCATAGGGTCTTGATTTTACTCAAAATATACTGAAAATTTTTCTTCATACATTTTCATGTTGCCGTGTGGGAACATAGTGTAAAATGAACACAAAATTAGTTGAAATGACACCCATCCGTTTAAAATGGTAGCATGCCGAGTTTTCGTTTCTATCATGAACTACCATGGACGTGAGAATGAAAGTGAGAATTTATGATTGAAGGATTTGGTAAATGTTAATTTTAAATTGAAAATTTTAGACATTTCAAGTGAAGGATATTTAAGACTTTCAACA